ACACCCTGTGAGGTAGGTGGGGCTGAGAGAGCTCTTTTGAGAACTACTCGTGAGAGAACAGCTCTGAGAGAACTTGTGACTGACCCATCGTCCCTCAGAGGTCTAATACATACAGAACATATTGGCTGATGTGCAAAAATACATACAATTCTACATATACAAAATATTGAATAAACCTAAGGAACATTTGGCTGTACAACCTTAGATGAATATACAGTTGACCAGAGAGAAGTACCACTGGACATGTGATTTCACTGGAGGCTTCCTTTGTATTTCTGTATTTCTTTTCCTGGCCCAGTGGTTAAACTTTGGAACAATTGATTTCTGGTCTTTATTCCATATTTTGTATATGTAGGATTGTATGTATTTTTGCACATCAGCCAATATGTTCTGTATGTATTAGACCTCTGAGGAAGGCCTGTAAAGGCCGAAACGCGTTAGGTCTATCTTATTAGCCCTTGTATGTTTTTATAGTTTTATATGAGGTATGAATGGGCCCTTGTTTGTTATTTTAATTTATGTTGAATAAACACACATATGTATTTTTGTATATTTTATGATTAGATTTTTAGAGTTGGCCCTTTTCTATTCCTGACTAACCTTTTTAGGTTCTGAATTCTAGGTTTAGGTTCAGTCCTCCCCCCCCTTTTTTTTCTTCTTTGACCCAAGGTCCCACCAGCAGCTGCATGTGGAGGAGTAGAGAATCAAACCTGGTTCTCCCAGATTAGAGTCCGCACTCCTAACCCCTACACAAACCCTGTGGGATCACCATAGCTCAGCCGCAGTTTGAGGGCTCTTTCCTCATCCAACAACTGCTGGTGTCCTAGTTCTGGAATGGCTTAATGGGAATGCAAAACCTACAACCACAATGGCTAAAGAAAGCCTCCTTAACTCTGGCCACTGAGTCGCCACCTCCCGTGAAAACCGCTCTCCTACGATAGCGATTATGGTGCCTTTTATTTACAAACTCGTGAGAAGAACTGCTTTTCCACATGTGCTGCCATGTGACTGGGAGTCGCATTTAAAAGACACAGGCATGGGAATGGGAAGCGCCACAAGGGTCTTTCCCATGGACATGGCATTACATCATTGCATGGGTGCATGAAGGTTCTTTGGTGAACAAAACTAGGGGTCAGACACTTAACAAAATCCACTTTACTTGACTTTGAACATGCCTCCAGCATAACCACGTTAGATGAGGCTTAAAAAGCATTCCATCTAAATAGATGCACACACAAAAATAGTTCACTATATTTGGAAGCAGCCGTTTAAAATAAAATGTGATTTCATGGGTAAATTTGAAGAAAAAGAGGTGGATTTATACCCTGCCCTTCACTCGGAGTCTCAGGGCGGCTTACAATCGCCTTCCCTTCCTCTCCCCACAACAGACGCCCCTGTGAGGTAGGTGGGGCTGCGAGAGCTCTGAGAGGACTGTGACTGACCCAAGGTTACCCAGCTGGCTGCATGTGGAAGAGTGGGGAATCAGACCCAGTTCTCCCAGATAAGAGTCGGCCCGCTCTTAACCACTACACCAGACTTAGCATTTTGCCCAAGACCACTGAGCTAACCTATGGCTGAGGATCAGTAGAGATCTTCTTCAAGCCCAGTATTCTGTCAACTGGTTCAGAGAGCTGTTTGAGAGCGAGGAAGGCGAAGTTTGTTTATTATTTATCCACTTAATTTATATCCCACCTTTCTCCCCAGTGGGGACCCGTAAGGCTTACATTATTCTCCTTTCCTCCATTTTATTCTCACAAAAACCCTGCAAGGTAGGTCGGAGGGAATTCCAAAGAGAGAACTCCCCTTTGTTCATTGTCCACTAAGGGCATGTTTTGCCCCTTATTTGAACTGTAAGATACATAGGCTGATATGCAAGCTTCTGAATTAAACGGAGTGCATTGGTCAGGGCTTTAATTTAATTAAGTTTACTTGGGACTTAAAGTAAATTAATAATTTAATTTAAAACGAACGCACACTCATTTTGTTCCCTTGTAAACTGAAGGGGGGGGGGAATGTTTTCATCATATTTCAGAAAATGCAGACACGATTTGTTGCCGGTCCCAGGGATTTATTTTTGACGTTACTTCTAGCCCGCCTTTTCCCCAAAGGACTTAACCATCAGCCGTTATACCTTACACGATTCTAATGCAAGGAGTGTTTGAGAGCTGGCAATTAAGGCTCTCTGTAAAGTGTAAGCAACCTTTAAACCATCAATTTCATGGCCGCTTCAGAGTGTTTTTCTTCTGTCTCTCAAACCATTCGAATCCCAACAGGAAGTATACTTAATGCATTGAAATGGCTGCTTTATCACTTTTACAGCATTGCTCCCCCCCCCTTTCTTTTTTTTAGGCTAGTACCATGATAGCCGTCGGCCTGACAATAGCTGCCGCTGGATATGCAGGTTTGTGTTCGGATTGCATGCTTTATTTCAGGCTGCTTGAATAGTGCTGCACTGAAAATTGATCATATCATTACAGTACAGTGGTTAGGTACAGTGTGTCAGTCTCCGAGGGCTACTGTGGATGATTATATCGTGAGCAGAAAGGCTGTAGCAAATCTATGTATTTTAAGTGGCATGTTTATAATAAGAGACTGCTTGTCTTCTGAGATCTTGTGCCCATGTTTTCTGACTTTTCACATCCCTTTGCCTAAGCCTGTTGGCTACCAAAGTACAATGCACGTGAACCTGCCTTCTGCAGAATCAGACCACTGGCCGTCTACCATCCTGGAAGGAGGTCTTTCAAATAATCTGTCACCTGATCCGTTTGATGCTGGGGATTGAACCTGGGTCTTTCCGCACGCCAAGCAAGCAGATGATCTACCATTGAGCCATGGCCCCGGTTTGTTCCATGTCCTTCCCTACATTGTGAGATAAGCCACTGTATTTAAGGATGTAAAATACAAGACTCTGGGTCTTTATGGGGTAGAGCTGTTTTAAATCAGTAGTACTATGTTTAGCCTAAATAACCTATTCACTTCTAAACTTATTTGGTGTTCCAGGACCCCCGACATCCAAATCTTAGGTGATTGTGTGGAGGTTCTCACTTTCAAGGCCTTGCTCATGGTATATATAAATGAGAAGTTTTGGCAAATGGGTATTAAAGATAAGATTAGCAGATACGGCCCTGATCTTCACTTTCTTACTGAACCATGTGTGATTTTTCCCCCCGGGTGAACAGAATCAGCTAGCTAAAGCATAGCTATGTTTGTTATGTCACCGTTGCTCAAACATGTATCTGAAGAAGTGTGCATGCACACAAAAGCTTATACCTAGAATAAAACTTTGTTGATTTAAAAAGTGCCACTGGACTCAAACTTTATGATGTTACAGATATTATATTTTCATTGAAATGCCTCCTGCTCAGCATTTTGGAGGATTATAGAAGAGGGGGGTGATTCTTAGGGGCAGGGCTGTGCAAGTCCAAACAAAGAGGGGTTGTGGGCTCAGTAGGAGAGCCCCTGGTTTGCAGGCAGAAGGTCCCAGGTTCAACTCCCAGCATCTCCAGTAAAAAGGACCAGACCTTGGAGAGCTGCTGCCAGTCTGAGTAGACAGTAGCCTACTTAATGGTCTGTTTCAGAATAAGGCAGGTCCATGACGGTTCGTGTGTGTGTGTGTTTGTGTGTGAAAAAGTATCACAGATCAGTGCAAGATACAAATAATGAAATGGTCATTGCTTAATAAACCTTTTAAAGCATAATTTGGGCTGCTTCTTGCTGGGTTTACCATGGCAACCTGGAGGACTGAAACTTTTAAAATAATTAAAGCCTTTTGAACTACATAGAAGGAGATGGTGGCTGAACATGGCCCAGGCAGCCACATATTGTTCAGTCTGTGTTACAGTAGCCCGAGTGTGCAGTAGAAAAATTATAGATGCATGAATCGGTTCAGTAATAGGTCAAAAGATTTTTCTGAATTGAGGTTGGGCGCATAAATGGAAGACTTTTCAAAGATAGTATGTGCAATGAAGTTCTGAATTTGTGGGTAAACCTGGTCCTGAACTGAAGACCATGTTCTTGTACTGCAGCGGCCTGTATCTGAATAAGGGCTGTATGGTGGCTGTGGATACAGATCTGGTCCTTTGGCTACATCTGCTCTGCTGCAGAGTTTCTTAAAAGATTTTAAAAGGAAATAAGCAGAAACTCTGTGTGATCCTCCCTGAGTCCCAGTGAGAAAGCAGGACTATTAACTGCACATGTTAATAGGTGGGGGTGGTGGGAAGAAATCACATCTCGGCAGCCTCTCACACTAGTAGAAAGCTTCTTTGGAGGAAGTGATTCCCATCCATCCCCTCCTGGGCACGCACACAGTGCTGGTATGAGGTCAATCGCATTAGAATTTGTGGTTGATGCTCTTCAGTAGCTGAACTGGAATTCTAACCTTTCTTCAAGGTCGTTATGCATTAAAGGCAATGAAGCAAATGGAACCACAAGTGAAGCAAGCGCTTCAGTCTCTGCCAAAATCTGTGAGTTCATCTTGTTTAATTTTCGTCTTCCAGCGGTGTTGACTTTTGCTTGCCTCTGGAGCAACGCTCCCTCTAAGCTGTGGAGTCTTGTGAGCAAAAATTCTACTTTGTGAGCTAGAGGCATTAAAGTTGTGAGCGATCGATTTGGCTACTGCATAAATTAGTTTGCTCTGGAGCCCTCCTTCCTGAGCTAAGTCAAAAATGTGTGAGCTGGAGGCTTAAAAACTGTGACCAAGCTCACACTAACTCAGAGGGAAAACTGCTCTGGAGTAATACCATTGTGCATTGCCTGACAGGGACCCAAGCAGTGTTCCCTCTAAGGTGAGTTAGTGTGAGCTAGCTCACAGTTTTTTAGCCTCTGGTTCACACATTTTTGTCTTAGCTCAGGAAGGAGGGCTCCAGAGCAAACTATTTTATGCAGTGGCCAAATCACTCGCTCACAGCTTTAATGCCAGTAGCTCACAAAGCAGAATTTTTGCTCACAGGACTCCATAGCTTAGAGGAAGTATTGGACCCCAGCAACTCATTAAGCAAGTTACTGGGATTTGTCTTTTTGTGTTTTTCAGTCAGAAAATCAACACATGCCAAGTGGGGAACAGCAATGAAATTCTGTGGGATGTGGTGGTCAAGGGGCTGAGGGAGAATAAACTAAATCCAGATAAGGTGGAGGTGGTACGGATTGGTTAAAAGTCTGCATTGTATGGAGGGGGGGGGGGAGTGCCATCAAGTCACAGCTGACTTAAGCGTGACCCCATATAGGGTTTTCAAAGCAAGAGACGTTCAGAGGTGGTTTGCCATGGCCTTCCTCCGCATAGCAGTCCTGGACTTCTTTGGTGGTCTCACAGAATCACAGAGTTGGAAGGGGCCAGATAGGCCATCTAGTCCAACCCCCTGCTCAATGCAGGATCAGCCTATAGATTCCCTGACAAGTGTTTGCCCAGCTGCTGCTTAAAGACTGCCAGTGAGGGGGAGCTCCCTCTCCCCTCCAAATACTAACCAGAAGAAGAAGAGTTGGTTTGATACCCTGCTCTTCACTACCTGAAGGAGTCTTGGAGTGGCTTACAATCGCCTGCCCTTCCTCTCCTTCCAGCAGACGCCCTGTGGGGTGGGTGGGGCTGAGAGGGCTCTGAAAGAGCTGTGACTTGCCCAAGGTCACCCAGCTGACTTCATGTGGAGGAGTGGGGAATCAAACTCCGTTCTCCAGATTAGAATTCGCCGCTCTTAACCCCAAACCACACTGGCTCTCTAACACTAGCCAGGGCCAACCCTGCTTAGCTTCTGAGATTTGACCAGATCAGACTAGCCTGGGACATCCAGGTCCATATGGGGTACTTCTCTCCATTAGTGACCAGGTGCAACTTTTATTCAAAGGACTCAGTTAAAAGTTTGGCCATCCTATTATGTCCAGGTCTCCGAGATAAACACAGTAGGAAAAAAATGATTTTTTCCAGCTGCATTTCATTAGGAAAATGTCCCTGGTTCTGCAGATAAGATTTATCCATACTGTGGTAACCTCAAGGCTAGATTACTGCACAAACTCTATATGGGACTGCCCTTGAAGACCTGTTAGAAGACGTGGTAGCCCACTTGTTATTGAGTGCTGATCACTGGGACCATATTACACTGATCCAAAGTCTCTTTACTGGCTGCCTATTTATTTCCAGGCCCAATTTAAAGTGCTAGTGTCTACCTGAAAAGCCCTTCATACTTGAAGGACTGTCTGTCCCGATGCAAACCTGTGCAAACATTGTGGTCCTTGGAACTACGTCTCCTAGCAGTCCTCTCATTCTCAAAGATCAGGTATGGCCTGGGCCCAGACAGTTTCTGTTTCTGCTCGTGGTTCCATAGCCACACAGTGGAGTGTACAGTCCTCTGTCCTCCTGTTGAGGGTAGGGAGAGGAAGGGATTTCCCCAGGTATGCCAAACCATGTGCTACTTTTGCACTGCTTTTTTGGTCATCATGGGTGCCGGCCATTTTAAGAAAGTGGCAAATGAGACACAGTTATAAACCTAATATATGTGCTTTTTGCTGTGCTTTTTTTTTTTTTGTAGAACTTGAAATATTTTGGATCACAAAATGGGAAAGAAGAGTTAGCTATTATAGAGTGGGGAGAGGGCATTAGGAGTGGAGAGGCAGAAAAACTGGGACCATCCAGCATTCTTTACTTAGCTTTGTAGAACTGAATGGCCCATTTCATGTTTCTTGGCCACCACCATTACAGAGGTACAAAGTCATCTTCGTTATCGGCGATGCCTTTGTGTGCTACCTTTAAAAAAAATCTAAGTTTTATAACCGGTGTCCCCAGCGGGCACCACGGCATATGCAAATACCTATCTTGGGGGCCCCTGGCCCACCAGTGATTGGCCACTGAAGATCTGAAAGGAGTTTGTAAGCCGCTCTGAGACTCCAAGTGAAGGGCGGGGTATAAATCCAATCTCTTCTCTTTTTCTTTGTAGAACTGAATGGCCCATTTCATGTTTCTTGGCCACCACCATTACAGAGGTACAAAGTCATCTTCGTTATCGGCGATGCCTTTGTGTGCTACCTTTTTAAAAAATTTAAGTTTTATAACCGGCACCACGGTTTATAACGGGCACCACGGCATATGCCAATACCTATCTTGGGGGCCCCTTGCCCACCAGTGATTGGCCACTGAAGATCTAATTAGCTATGCAGGTTAAAATACTATTTCAGTGGCAGCTGCCACAACAGCATTTGTTTCATTCTCGCTCCTTTCCTGGTGTATTTTTTTTTTTTAATGTCCATCTTGTCCCCTGCACTTGGGCTGCTTCTGTCTGCGCGGCTCCACCTCCCATGGCAGTCCTTTTGTGGTGGGCTCCACCGCTTGTGGCAGCCATTTTGTGGTTGCGCCCACCACCCTGTATCAGAATGCCAAAGACGTCAACGGACTCGAAAAAGGTGAAGAACCTCTGTTTTATAACAATGTGTCTTATTTCAGGCCTTCGGTGGTTATTACAGAGGAGGATTTGAATCCAAAATGACCAAGAGGGAAGCTGCTTTAATATTAGGAGTCAGGTAAAAATAAAAAAATATATTGTCAAGGAACTGACTTAAACCACGGCAGTCTTTCTCCAAAAACACAGAATCCCGGCAGCATCCAGTGACCAGCCCTGGACATTTCCACGCTGGCTACATTACCTTGAAACCTGGTATACTGCAGAGAGGCATCCTCCATCCCCACAGCTGAAGAGCAGAGAGCTATTAAAGGTTTCCATGTGGGGTTTTCTTGCACTGTTCGGTGTCTCTGAAGCAAGGAGGCTTGAACTCAGGCCGCTTCACCGCAGCCAGCCCCGACAGCAATGCTCTTGATGACGGCAGATCTTGAGGTCCTGTTGATATGTGGATCAGGGTGTATTATAAAACCTCCGATCTCTTGAGCTGATGCTTTCAGTACTGCCTTCGACAGAGCTCCAAAGCAGTGGAGTGAGGGAAGGCTGTTGTCCCTTTGGTATGTATTACACCAGAGTCAGGCAGCATTTTGGGAGCCCAGGTGCTGAAAAGAATGCAGAACCTCCTCAGGAAAGCTCCTCCATTAGCCTGTTTTCACAGCCCGGGGAAATCTTACAAGATAATGACTCAGCCCTACCCCACCTTCCTGAGTAGGTATAAATTACCTGCCTCCCATTTTTCTTCTCACCTTGGCACAGAGAGTACTCCATCTTTCTGTGTTATGCCTCCGAGGATGCCAGTCACAGCTGCTGCCGAAACGTCAGGTCCTACAATGCCAAGACCACGGCCACACAACCCGGAAAATCTACAACATCTAATGCAGCATCTATTTATGGAGATGTTGATGTGCCTGAAAACAAAATGGGTGGGGGAGATGAGTGTCATACTTCGGGATAGCCAGCGTCTCAGGGATTTGCCTTGGATTTGGCAGGTGGCTGTGTAGGAGAACATCCAGAGAACACCCGTGCCCTGCGGGAATTATTACCTTTCCACAGGGCATGCAAGGCAGAGATGTTCCGCCAGACATTTGGTTGAGGACAGCGACGGGACAGTATGAAATTTGGCACTCTCCTACTTTCACTCTTTGTAGCCCTCCCCCCCCCCCCCCCGGGAGGTCTGTGGAAGCTGAGATTTTTTTCTTCTGCCATCTTGGAATGCGTGTTGTTTCATTTGGGTTTTTTGGGTGTCCCCACCCCAGTTTTTCACTGTTTAGTGATATTTCAAAAATAATTACAGAAATACAGAATTACAAGTAGAAATTACAAAATTTTGCAAACTGAAGTCAAAATATGTTTCGATATATTACTCATTTAGCAATGTGAGGGTAACAATATAACATTCTTAATACTGTGTCAGTATCAACAGTGCTCATAAGCAGGGGTCATTTTGTAGAAAAAGAGGTGCAGGAGCTCATTAGCATAACTCATTAGCATAACTTATTTCCACATGCCACACCCCTCAACATCACCGGAAGTGTGTCAGAAGGCAACACCCACCTCTCAGGCTCCACTGGACTGTGTTCAATTGCTAGCTCTTGGGGGAACGTGCGGATTTGTCCTCGCAGAGGAGGGAGAGCTTGTACCTGAATAAAACTTGGTCTTAAAGGTGCCACTGGACTGCTTTGGACGGGGGGGGGGGCAAGGGGGGGCTCTGCAGCTTACCTGGCTGCTTCTTGCTCTGACAGGGCTGCTGGGAGCAGGGGGTGGGGCTTGTTGTATGTACCCACCCCCTGGGCTCTTTACTGCCGGAGCTGTGCTCCTGCAGGAAATGACCCCTGCTCATAAGAATTAATGTTTAATAAAGTTGTGCACTCTTTAAAGAGCTTTCTGGTAATTGCTTTTATATGTTATGTGGTTATGTGGTTTCATTTGTTGATATGTTTTAGGTATTTTTAATGTTTGCTTTAAATTAAACTATTTATTGTACCTGTTTCTGTTGCAAGCCGCCCTGAGCCCTGCTTGCAGGGAAGGGCAGCCTAATACATTCACTTAATTAATTAAATAGGTCTGGAGGCAGAGTTCAGGGGGTTGGACTAGATGACCTGCAAGGTCCCTTCCAACTCTAACATTCTATGATTCTATGACAGCATAAGGCTGGTCCTTCCTCCCCCACTGCTTGCCCCACTGGCGCTGCCAGTGTCTCGGCTGCTTGGGTGAGCCTTTGGAGCCAAGCAAAGTGGTCATTCATTCTGCAGGACCCTACTCTTGCAGAATAGCCAAAAAGGACACAGAGCTGTTCCTTTTTTTGCACCCACCGCTGGAATTTCCTAAATATCATTGTGTAGTTTGCAAACTCTGGTTGGTTGTGGATGGCGAGAATTCTTTCGGTAGCCATGGTGCGAGTGCAGAGCTGGAGAAAAGGGGGAGGGTATTCAAAAGAAGCCGCCTAGCCCCAATAGGAACTACATTTTGAAGTCTGTTCGGAAATTTCATTGACCTAACATAGCCTCACTCTCATTTTTTTTTTCTCCAATAAGCAGTCCAACAGCTAATAAAGGAAAAATCAGAGAAGCTCACAGACGAATCATGCTTTTGAATCACCCTGATAAAGGTAAATGAGAGAAGGAATGGATTTGGTTTGACACGGACTAATTGACGCTGTTCCCTTTGTCCATCTAGCATGTCCTGTTAGAGGACTGTACCATCTGTTTTGTACATTCTGGGGAATAAAAGAAGTGTCGGAGCCATCCTGGCCTCCTCAATTGTAGGAGCCACCAGAGAATGTGCACGCCCAGCCATCTTACCTATTTGCAGCGTGGCGCCTTCAGAAGGCTTTGCCCAGATAATCAAAGCTGCCTCTGTGGAGTATAACAGAAGAGGCAGTCCTGCAGGTATGTGAGTCTGAATGATTCAAACTAATCCAAAGCGTGCCCCTTAATCTCTACTTCTGCCTTATCTCTGGGACCGTCTCTCCTCCTCTGCTCCACCACGACAGCTTTGCTCGTGTCAGCAGGGCTTCTGCGAGTGCCAACGTGCAAATGGGCAAAACCAACAGCTTGCCCGTACAGGTGCTTTCTCCGTTGTGGCTCCTGCCTTGTGGAATGGCCTGCCCGAGAAGGCTTTCCACAAATTATACGAAACTGAATTATTCAGGGTTTTGCTGCACAGGTAATAGGGTTGCCCTGCACAAAATGGTTGACAGACTGACTTGGATAAATTATTAGGGACTATGGTCAATACTGCTGTGTATAGTGCTTAATGTGTCCTGTTAAGATTTATGCTGTGCTTCAGTTCTTTCTGGCTGCTTCCAGATTTCTACAATCCTAATGTGTTGGCAATTGACAAAACAATCCGTTTTGTTGATTGTACTGACTCACTATGCATAATCTGCCTTAAGAACGTAAGAGAAGCCATGTTGGATCAGGCCAGTGGCCCATCCAGTCCAACACTCTGTGCCACACAGTCGCCAAAAACCAGGTGCCTTGACTCCCTGTAAGAAAGATGGACTACAGACATCCAAACATCTCAACAAGATGGTCACATTATCACAGATTGCTGATAAAAGCTAGTAAGACCCATAGCGCTTGTTTACATTCGGACTCACAAAGGTGATTTTTTGGCATCCTTTAAAGCGTCACGTTAATACTTGCAGTGTCCTTCAGATTTCTGGTTGGTTTCAGATTCTCGTTGGTTCCAGAATTCTAGTCCAAATCGTACCGCATCATAAATTATTGGATATCCCATCCTGTTGATTGTTACTGGCTTGCTTTGTGTAATCCGCCCTAAATCCCAGTGAGCAAGGCAGATTATAAATAAATAACATAAATAAATAAAATAACCATACTATCTTCGAGGAATACTTCATAAATGGTGAGAATTTTTCATTTAGGGCTAATGTTGCCCTGTAAACACTTCAGCACTTGGATTGGTTGAAGGCAGATGGAACTACTTGACAAATTAGTTATGTTGCTAGCCGCTAGGAAATGTGTGATGGAATTAATTGGATTTAAAAGATCCTGGTTCACATACTTACCCCCGGAGCTTTACTCAGCTGGCGTTCGACTCAGCAGCTACAAGCTGGTATTCAGGATACTTTCAGTCACCAGTTTAGGTATTTATTTCAACAAGGGCAGAACATCAGCCACCACTACTGGTGTTAATTCATGTAGCACTTTTAAAGTTTGCAAAGCACTTTACAGTGGTTGGATCCAAATTATCTCCATTACACTAATGTAGCTTTCCTCCAGCGGAAGAGTTGTGTTTCACTAAAGGAAACATTCCACCATTGGCAGAATGGATCCTTTGGTTACAAAGGTGAACACAATTAGACCTGAGTTAAAGACCCACCTGTGCCATGTTCCTAAGATTTATTCAGTCCTTCAGCCAGTTGAACTTAAGATATGCATGCCTATAACTCTGTCTAGCAGTCAGAAAAGCCCTGACTCATCCAATCTTGTCAGAACTTGGAAGGAAGACCACCAGGGAAGACTATGCTGTGCCGAGAAAAGGCCCAGGCAATGGCAAATGCCCTGGAGCCAGTATGAGTCAGTTGCAACTTGACCGCACACAGTCATTATAACTCCCATCTAACTGATCAGTTTACAACACAGTAAATAAGTAATCATTTACTGCATAGCTCTGTTACAGCTCCTCTGCCAACAGTGGCCCTTTCTGCACTCTCCTTTTAATCCATGTTCACCAAGGTGTCCTCCAAGCAGTTCTGCAAACAACAAGAATTCAACCTTTCTTATTAAATAATATATTTATTAAATGTTTATGCTTAGTGAACACACACACACATAAACAACAACAACAAACATGAACCATCACTACAACTGTTTTCTCAGCACATCACATTGATCAAACAGTTTGGTTATACATAAGTGAATTATGAGTTCTCTCTATTCTCATATTAACCAACTAGAATTACACATTGCATAACTCAGGATCCTCACCAATTGTTCTAGTCAGAATAATTATCAACTACCATATCTACTTTTCTACCATTACTCCTTTCTCTTATCCATATAACAAAGTAGCTTATTAGGAAATCTTCCACTAATTTTCTATTTAAATCACTTGTAATCAATTCATTCTAATTTTGAGAAAAGATTATACATTCAGCTGGAATATTTACATAACAATCACCTACAAAATCTAACTTATTCATTTATTAATTCTTATTTACAGTGTCATAGTTACTATCTGCTACTCTAGTCCCAGACATAAATATCATAACAAAGTTAATTTATATAACAAAAATAAGAAAAATACTAATCTTAAATAATTTAAATCATAATAATGCTTCTAATACCAACACTGAATTCCATTTTCAATTAAATTATGGTAAGGCAACAAAAACAAAACTACAAATACAGAATTATATTCTTACAGAAAGCTACATATAACAGCTCTCCTATTATACCACCACACCACCACTAATTTTATCTCTCTCTCTTTTTTCCCCCTGTTAATTTTCCCTAATATATTTAACAATTTTTAACAGTGTGCAAACCATGAATACTAACAAAAATTTTAACGGTATGAAAGTATTCTTCTCTTATAATTTCACAATCTATTATGTTTCTAATCTTTTCCATACATTACAACCATCTTTTAGTATTCCAAACAACAATAAAAAAATTATTAACTTACAACTGGTAAATAACAATCATTACAACAATGACACTGTATTCCATTTCCTTTTTATATTGATTTTTTTCATTCTCTTCTAAATGTCGTAGGTCTTTGTACTCCTGTAATCTAATTACCAAATTGGCTCTTCCGCATTCCCTTACATTTAAATTTAATTGTTTGAAAACTTTAGGTTTCTTTACACCTTTCTTTAATTTTTTTTCTCTTGTTGGCTTCTTTTTTCTCCGAGGAGAGTTTAGCAAACATTTTTTTTACCACTCCTGGTTTCGGTTTTCTTTGTTCCTCCAAAACGCATTTAGTAATATCTGCCTCCAATGTCTCATCTTCTGTAAGCAAAGGCTGAGTAACATGTAGCTCTCTCTCCTGGTCTGATTCCTGCGCTTCACCCCGCCTTTGCGTTCCTTGTATTTGTTCTTTATTGTCCTTCACCTCCAAAGATACGCTCTGGGGGTTTCTCAAAAGGTTCTCGCAGGCCAATTTAAATGCTTGCCTCACTTCTTCTGTCAAGATTTTTTGAAATTGTTCCCACGTGAGGTCACAAACTTTTGTATCCTTCCTGATCTATCTCCTCATTAGCATCCACCGCCTCCATTTTCTTCACTCCAACACTCCAACATACGTAGCTTTCCACTTAAGCAAATTCAAATATATTTCAAGGGTTGTTATATATTAATGTTCTTTTGATTACGCTATAGACATAGCTTTTAAAGAGTAATGATACTTCCAGCAAAAACAGTAATTGTCTCTTACCCCCATCAGATCTCGTCACTCTCAGTTCCCAAGCAGATTTTTACGGCCGTTTTTTCCAAAGGAAAGGGAGTATCCACGAGGGGTATAGTCCTCTCAATTTCGACCAGGGTATGCACAAGATAAACTCCTCAGTGTGATGTGTTGAATCATTCAGAAAGGAAAACGCTTAAAAATAAAAGGTTGGCTGCTGCTACTCAGAAACATGGCAAACACGTCTCTGCTCCTCAGACTCTCCCGCTTCGAGGCGAGCCGGTTGCACCCCCGTCTTTGCCAGAGACAAGGGGGACCGGAAGGAGCCTCCTGTAGCTCGGTCTCCCTCCGAGAGACCGAGCGAAGCCCACCCGGAGCCCAGGGGGGCTCCAAAAGAACGGCCAAGGTCGGGTGGCCCGGGAGCTCCCGAAAAGCCACCCGTCGCAGCGCCGTACCGTAACCATAACCTCGAAGCCCCCCCCCCCAATTCTGCACTAAAATCGATTTCAACCTTCTTTTTAATCTGTGTGTCCCCCCCCCTCATTCTGCATTAGATTCCCTCCCTTCAGTGTCCTATTCTTTTGAAAATCAAAAGACTCAGTGAATACTCAAAAGAAATTGTACTGTAACACTCTGTGCCACACAGTCGCCAAAAACCAGGTGCCTTGACTCCCTGTAAGAAAGATGGACTACAGACATCCAAACATCTCAACAAGATGGTCACATTATCACAGATTGCTGATAAAAGCTAGTAAGACCCATAGCGCTTGTTTACATTCGGACTCACAAAGGTGATTTTTTGGCATCCTTTAAAGCGTCACGTTAATACTTGCAGTGTCCTTCAGATTTCTGGTTGGTTTCAGATTCTCGTTGGTTCCAGAATTCTACAGTCCAAATCGTACCGCATCATAAATTATGGGATATCCCATCCTGTTGATTGTTACTGGCTTGCTTTGTGTAATCCGCCCTAAATCCCAGTGAGCAAGGCAGATTATAAATAAATAACATAAATAAATAAAATAACCATACTATCTTGGAGGAATACTTCATAAACGGTGAAAATTTTTCATTTAGGGCTAATGTTGCCCTGTAAACACTTCAGCACTTGGATTGGTTGAAGGCAGATGGAACTACTTGACAAATTAGTTATGTTGCTAGCCGCTAGGAAATGTGTGATGGAATTAATTGGATTTAAAAGATCCTGGTTCACATACTTACCCCCGGAGCTTTACTCAGCTGGCGTTCGACTCAGCAGCTACAAGCTGGTATTCAGGATACTTTCAGTCACCAGTTTAGGTATTTATTTCAACAAGGGCAGAACATCAGCCACCACTACTGGTGTTAATTCATGTAGCACTTTTAAAGTTTGCAAAGCACTTTACAGTG